GCGATTTTCCCGCCAAAACTTTGAGGCGTTCGTACGCGGGGCCTAGATGTGCTTGAGGGTTGGTACTGCGGTCCTGGGGTGGCACTTGGCCAGAGAACCATCTCGCAAAATTTTGGCGCCGGAGCTTGTTTGGATGCCGAGTTGAAATACCCGGACAGACAGACAGGCAGACAGACATACATACACACACATATACACACACCGAGGTCGTCGTAATATGCGTTTTCGCATTTGCATATTATGCAAAAACGCAAAAAAAGGAAGGATTTTTTGGATCACGTATGGACTGGGAATATGCTCAGAAAGTTTCAGTTTCCTAGTTTCGGAGTTCTTGAATTGAAAATGAGTAATAAAATGCGAACACTTGCATACTGCACATATATATATGTTATGACAATTCAAATAATTGCAACTAGCTTTCTTCTAAAAAATATTCAACACGCCTGAGAAAAAAAAAAAGGAATTTGCTTGTGACATGAAAGAGTCTAGAATGTTAAAGGATAGTTTGATGAGCACAAAGATGGCAAAGCGTATGTGTATCGCCATCTATCCTCCAACTAGCCAGGTACTGATGGTGAACGATTAGTGGATGAGTGGTTGCTCTGAAAAGCAAAGAGGGCAAAAACAACTTTCCAGCTGACTGAACATCAGTGATTGGCAGCAGTGCTGATGTCCTCAAATTACACACTTTGTGGAATATAGATCGCTTCGCTAGCCAGGTAAACTGGACAATAATATGAAAAGAGACAGAGCATGCCTTTTAAAGGCGGGATTGTACTAAACAACAGGGAATGATTTTTGGGATAATAATAAAGCAGAAATGGCCAAGGTTGACTGAATTGTACGTAGTTAAGTGGGAGTGTTTATCAGATAAGGCCGATCAGGTCCATTTTTATGAAGCCTATGAAAAACGCGTACTATAAGCACGCTAGCACGGTCAAGGTTAGACCCTCCTAGTTCTCTAAAAGCATCCGATGAAAAATGTAAAATTCAGCAGAAATTGTACGGTGGTACTGAACAAAGAAAGGTATAAAATGCAGTTAGAATGGGCGGAGGAAATATTTTAAATAGGTGGGAAAAAAGTAAGCCAAGCGGGCACTTAGACCACGAGAAAAGTGCTTAATTGTTTTGAAAAGAGAAGCGCCAGTTGTTTCGGGAAAAAGACTATGCTACTTTATAGGGGAAACATTTTAGTTAAGAATTTTGTCTAAGAAATGTCTTTTCTGCTGAGCTCGTCGGTACTGCGAAGGAAAGTGAGATCCATTCGTTAATCAATCTGTTGTCAGCCGGTGAATAATGTGGATAAGAAAGTAAGTGGGGGCTGAAAGTAGATCTAAATAGCAAGTCGAAGGCAAGTATCCATGGCAGATAACTCCCAAACAGCTATGCCAACATTCTGTTGATGTTGGCGACTACAGCTCTTGTTCAGATGATCGTTGTGGTAAAATCTCTCTACATTTTTTATAAAAACAAGTGCAGGGTAAAGGCGTTTTCTTCCTCCAGTTTTACCCAGACCATTTACAACATTTTCCCGCATCATGATTAGGTAACAATCGTGGCCGTATTTTGTGTAAGTTTTTAAATCAATTCTTTTCAGTCTTTTGGACAAAATATTTGCGAAAAGGTATGATGCATATGAACAATCCGTATATAAACAATTGCACTAGTTGCGATCAAGATTAGTATCCAGAGGACGATAATCACAGCTACTGTGATCCAGAAGAAAAGCAATTTGCGACGAACTTCTTCGGTCGCCAATTTTCGGCTGGGTGTCCAAATTGTATTGCTTGGATAATGAGTACTGTCCACTTCTTCAGCTTTTTGAAAACCTATAAGACTGATAGTAAGTCCTCATGGGAACGAGAATCACTATCGAAAAGGGTGGAGAGAATATTCAGATTAAGGCGAACTAAACATCATGGAAGCATCACCTAATGAAAAGATTAACTTGTTTTATGTGGTTGAAGTGTTAGGACAGAAAGTATATGAACTGCAAATCATATATTCAGTAAGCATATGGGAAAGTAGCCAGGGCTGTTCTGGATACTGAAATTCGGTTTCACTGTCGTTGAGCAGACTCCCTTCCCCTCCTTCATCGCCCTAACGTTACTGAGCTGCAGCCATAAACTTTTTGTCCGTGCTGCTCTCAAAACGTGAACCTGCTTTATTAGTTGTATTTTCTTGAACACTGAATTGTAATAATGTTATATTCACAAACTCCTTCGTCTCAGCGCTTCTTGGAGCAATGGCAAGCGGATACTCTTGGTTGAAGCCAGTTTTAACAAGGCATGTGCAGACAAATGCTCGAAGAAGCTGTATAATGTGTGAGCGGAACCCTGCACCAGCCATCTCTTGCTGATAAATTGATAGATAATGGGTAGAATTTCGGAATCTATAAAGTCAATAGTGGCTGATATGATCCTGCTTTTTTGCATAATTCCATCTTGCAAACAGATCGTCTATGCTGCGATGTACTTGCGACGCTTGCAGTTTATGCATTTAACATACCTACACACAAGTTGCATACGTAAACAAGCGCTCACTACGCGTCTTATGCTGCAACAGTTGCACAATATGCACATTATCGAGATCCTCTCTGTGTTTATGTGTGTATACATGTGTTCATGTGTATTTTCCGAGCGCATTTTATCCGGGGGTTTCAACTCGGGAAGCCAGAGAAGCTAGGGAGCTAAAATTTTAAGGGGAAACCTCCTAGCCGCGAGTGACCTCGCAAAATCAAATTCGTCGTTGGCGTGCCTCTAGTTTCCACGTACGGTCATGTGAAAGTTTTGACGTCCAAATTATTAACGGGAACCAGAAAGGCCAAGAAGCTGAAATTTTGGGCGATTGTCGCCTGCACAGATATGACCCGGAAACTCAGATTCAGTCCTCCGCACGTCTAGATCTTAACGTAGGGGCGCGTGAAATTTTTGGTCGCCAAAATTAATAGTTTGGGGGTCGTGGAACCTAGAGGGCTGAAATTTCAGGATAATGCTTTCGTATAGACTCAGACCTCGCGCACGCCTACGTCTGAAATATGTATGCACGAAAATTTTGGCGCCAAAATTAGTGACTCAGAAGCCACAAAATCTAAGGGGCTGAAATTTCAGTACGATGTTTTCTACTCGCGTGCTACCTTGTAAATTTAAAATCAGCCCTTACGTTTGCTTCGGTCTCGTGTACGAATGTTCGAAAGTTTTGACGCTAAAATTGTTACCTCGACAGGCAGAAAGCAAGGAAGTCGAAATTTTAGAAGAATGTCTCATGCTCGCGTATGATCCCTCGAACTCGATTTTTTTTTTGAAATCGGAAGCTGAAAATTTAGTTTGATACTTCCTCTGAATGTACAATCCTGGAACTTTAAATGCAGCTTTTATACACGCTTTTGTGCCGGGTATGAAGAAATGAAATTTTCCGTTGGAAATTTTTACTTCGAAAACTAGACATAACAGAAAGCCAAAATTGTTTAAAGATGTTTTTGGACTTAAAAATCCGAACCTAGTTTTCAAGAACATTTAGGAAATGACAAAGCAATAAATATTCCTACGAGAGCCTGCTTACTGGTCGGAACAGCGCAAAATATATGGTCTGCTCTGCATTCCTCTATTTACTGCAATCGCATAAAGATGCAAAAAAAAAAAAAAAAAATTCCTCATTCGCCTGTCCTTTTATTCCTTCTCCTCTTCATTAGTTCATTATGAGTTTTTATGCGTTTTTGCAGTTGCAACCCCGGATTGGATTGCACCAGGCTTGTCAGCGCAGTCATGTGTGTTTGTGCTAGACTTGCAGCGGTTAGACCGTTAAAATCTTTATTGGTTACTGCGTTACAGTTTAACACATGGATTCTGTCACTTTCTTGCATGCAGGTTGGAATGGTAGCACACGAACTTGCAGTGTGCATGAATATCAGTTTTTCGCATGAACATCGGTCGTTTTGCTTGTGAACAGCTGTTCCTCGAAAGAATGCAAATTTGAAGGAAATCGCGCGAAACCCGCAAGATGCATTCGCTTTTGATTGTGCGATGAGATAAAGTGTTTGTCATGTCCGCGCGCAGAGATTTTCACTTCCAAGGTGAGTTAAAGCCACACGTAAATTTAAAATTTCTCTGCAAGGTTTCAGCTTGTCCGACGAACGAAATAGCCACTTCACTACAATTATCTTTGGAGTACCCTAAGTTGTGGTTCAAGTGCAGATATTGAAATTCGTTTTACGTATGCGGTTTTCCACATGGATTTTTTAGATATATAATTTTCCACAAAATCCTGACACTGCTGTTTCCAGCTAGTTTTCGAATTGGCACAGCGCCAACTGCGAACTTTGGTGTTATTGTACCCCTGGTGTAAACGGACATAGAAGCTCAGTTTGAAATCTTTAACTCACACATGACAAAGAACAGTAGCGTGAAATTTCAGTTTTCTAGCTTATTTGGTTCCCGAAATCGTTTTCCAGAGAATTTTGCATATTTTTTCAGCATTCGCGCATACGTGAGTGATGATTACAAGATGACACATCCGCTGGG